CGCTGCAGTGTCGTGGCTCGGGCGGGGCCTGAGCTCCCGACACTCGGAGCCGCAAGATAAGGGGGCGGGGCTGCGAGCTGCAGCCGAGCTGCAGGAGCTCAGGCCCTGCTGGAGCCATGCTGCTGCAGTGTCGTCCAGGGCTGCTCCTTGACAAGGCGCGCTGAGGCGCCAGGGGATGGGGGCGGCGGGGATAAGCAGCATAGTAAGCCTCTCTGAGCCGGGCACCCCACTGACCACATCCCACCACAGCGCTGACCCCCAGCTCCTCTGAGCCGGGCACCCCTGACTCCATCCCCCCACAGCCCTGACACCCAGCTCTGAGCCCAGTCCCTCTGAGCTGGGCACCCCCCGACCCAGAGCCCAGCTCCCCACCCAGCCCTGGGCAACAGCAGCGCCACCCCCAGGCAGCGACAGCCCATTGGCACCAACCATCACCATCACCCAGCGACAGCCCATTATGTAATTGCAAATGTAGACATACCATTAAAGCATTTCGTGTTTTTAAATAATGTATTTCGTGTATTTTCAAATTATTACAAATTAATTTTTGAATGTATTTCACTGGTTATTTTTTACATTTCCAAATACACATTACTAGAGTATTGCAACTTATTTTTGTGGAAGGGGCCTCCGAAATTGCTTTGCCCCAGGCCCCCTGAATCCTCTGGGCTGCCCTGCAAGGGGAAACTGAGGCACATGGAAGTGAAGTGACTTGCCCAAGTTCACCGAGGAAATAGTGGCATAACTGGAAATAAATTCTGGGTCTCTGTTTGGTGCTGAGCACTATGGGAAAACGGGTCTACGGACACCCGCCATGCACCGCGCAGTAACGGGTAGGTAAAGGCAGTCGACCAGCTCTCTAAACTGGTTGAACTGGTCACTTCATGTTAGGTCAGATTCTGTTCTCAGTTAGGCACTAGAAATCTTCAATAATTCAATTTAGTGCAGGTTCCAGATTCAGGACAGGGTAACTAAGAGCAGATTTGCTAAGTCTTTTCAAATCCAGTGTCTTCACCTTTACACTTAGAAATTGTTTGAAAGCTTTTTTCTGTGTGTATTTTCACGCGTGTTTTCACGTATATATAGTTGTGTGAGTGCTTGGAGTTACGAATGTGGGTGTGCGGGAAGCTTGTGTTTGTGTGTTTATGGGTGTAGTTGTTTGTATGTGTGCTTGTAGAACGAAATGTGTGTGTGATTGCATGTGAATGTTTATGTGTTCATATCTCTTTGTATATATTTTAGTGTTTGCAAGCATGTGTTTGTGTATATATTTCTGGTGTGTCTGTGTTCCTGTGTTTACGTGTTGAGATGTGTCACTCTGTGTGTGTGTTTGTGTGTTTGTGTTTCTGTTTTTCTGTCTCTGGCACAGAAAAGGGGTCAGACGAGCTCTTAGCACTGCAGTGTCTGATGTTCAGAGGAATTCCAGGGTGAATAATTAAACTCCATTTAGAAATGCTGCTGCCCTGCACATATTTATGATCCGGGAACCTGCATTTCTTCCCCTGACCAGTGTCTCCGATGCGCCCACCACCGTGTCCCTTCCTGTCTGTGTCTGGTCAGCGCCCCCAGCCGGCGAACCGCCTCTGCTGCAGCTCCCGGGAAGGGTTTGTCTGATCCCAGACTGGCTTCCCCTCGCTGGGTGTGTCAGTGTCTCTACACCGCGGTGTCCTCGGCTTTCAGGCTGTTCATGTGCAAGCAGAAAGTGGTGCTGTCCTTGAAGGCTGTAGATCTCCCCTGCATGGAGGAGGCGTGTCATAACTATAAAGGGAAGGGTAACAGCTGTCCTGTATACAGTACTATAAAATCCCTCCTGGCCAGAGACTCCAAAATCCTTTTCCCTGGAAAGGGTTAAGAAGCTCAGGTAACCTGGCTGGCATCTGACCCAAAGGACCAATAAGGGGACAAGATACTTTCAAATCTTGGTGCGGGGGGGAAGGCTTTTGTTTGTGCTCTTTGTTTTGGTGGTTGTTCGCTCTTGGGACTGAGAGGGACCAGACATCAATCCAGGCTCTCCAAATCTTTCTGAACAAGTCTCTCATATTTCAAACTTGTAAGTAAACAGCCAGGCAAGGCATATTAGTTTTTATCTTTGTTTTCTCAACTTGTAAATGTATCTTTTTGCTAGAGTGTTTATCTCTGTTTGCTGTAACTTTTAACCTAAGGCTAGAGGGGGGTCCTCTGAGCTCTTTAAGTTTGATTACCCTGTAAAGTTATTTTCCATCCTGATTTTACAGAGATGATTTTTACCTTTTTCTTTAATTAAAAGCCTTCTTTTTAAGAACCTGATTGATTTTTCCTTGTTTTTAGATCCAAGGGGGTTGGATCTTGATCCACCAGGAGTTGGTGGGAGGAAGGAGGGGGAATGGTTAATTTCTCCTTGTTTTAAGATCCAAGGGGTTTGGATCTGTATTCACCAGGGAATTGCTGAAGAGTCTCTCAAGGCTACCCAGGGAAGGGAATTAGCATCGAGAGTGGTGGCAGCGGACCAGATCTAAGCTGGTAGTTAAGCTTAGAAGTTTTCATGCAGGCCCCCACATCTGTACCTTAAAGTTCAAAGTGGGGAAGCAGCCTTGACAAGGCGTAACTGTGGATGGAGGGATCATAGTACCTGGCCAGCCACTCCAGCCCCTTCCCGGGCTCCCGTCTGAACCAAAACATCCAGGCGCTGCTCGAGGGGAGTTTTCAGGGGACCGGCTGGTAACTGCACAGACTCAGGGGCTGCGGATTGTCTCCCTGGGTGCAGCCTGGGCAGAGAAAGGAACAGATTTAAAGAAGAGACTCTCACTTTTATTTGCATATTGCCCTGTTTATAAGAGACACAAGTTCTGCCGTGGAGCGAGCTCAGGTTTTGTTAGCTGCTAGAAAGAAAACCAAATGGAGCCAAAGAGTCATTTCCCCTCAGGTTGGAGGGGAAAGTTTTCAGGCGATTGGCTGAGCACAGACACCAGGGGGGCTGCAGATGGTCTCTCTGGGTGCAGCCTGGGCAGATTTAAACAGGAACTTGTCACCCCTATTTGCTTATCCCGCTCCTTATAAGAGAGACAAGCTCCCTAAGAGCCCGTCTGAAAATCTAGGTTCGGGCATTCAGGAAGGCGCAATCAGACGTCAGTGGTTAGGGATCCAGGCTGGGGTTACGGGTTTGGGGATTCCATCCCCTTTTTCCTCCACAGACTTCCTGGGTTACCCTGGGCAAGTGTAACATATTCCCCTTGTGTCTCGGGCCCCCATCTCCACCTATGGAGTCCTCCTCTTTGGCTCCCCGCCCCAAGGCAGCCACCTGCTGCACCCCAAATTCCTCATCCCCAACCCAGCCACATGCCCTGCACCCCAACCCTCTGTCCCAGCCCAGAGCCCCCATCCAGCACCCAAAGTCTCTCCCAGAACCTGCACCCCAAACCACTTCCTGCACCCAAACTCCCTCCTAGAGCCCGCACCCCCTCCTGCACTCCAATCCCCTGCTCCAGCCCAGAACCTGCACCAAACCCTGTCCCAGAGCCCGCACCCCTCCCGCACCCAAACTCCCTCCCAGAGCCTTAGGCAGGTGTGTGTGTGTGGGGGGGAGACTTGGACCCATTCTGGGCACCACCAAAAATTATACAAACCTGCCACCCCTGTCCACCTATGGACATAAACAGCACTTTCGTGCCTCACAGACTTGTTGGGAAGATAAATGCATTACAGATTATGAAGTTCCCAGATATCATGTGATGTGGCCATGTAAGGGCCTAAAATACAGGAATGGCTTAGCCTGGTCCTGGGCCACTGATCATTGAAATGAACGGGAGCGTTTCCAGTACTTCATTGGAACATTTCCACGGATATTTTTGGTGGATTCTCCTTCCCATGTGAAATGTGACTGTTTTCTCACCTGGGTAATTTCAGTAAAGCTGCGTTGCTGTGGGAAGTAAAATACTGCGCAGTGGTGATGGAAAGCCCAGGAAAGTCAAAAGGGAAAAACTTCAACAACCTGCTGTTTAGTTCAGTGTTTGCTGGGTGGCGCCCTGTGTTATTAACCCGAGTCAGGGAAATTCTGTGGCTATTGCTTGAAATTTCAGTGCAGGTGTTCACAGAACGGGGAATGGAGATAATGAGGATGATTCCTACCGAGATTCAGCAATTCGGATTTAATTACAAACCCGGGGAGCTATAAGACTAGCGAAATATTCCTGTGCAGATTGATATTCCTGCATGAATCAACCACATCCCGCTGGCTTTATTCGTCCTGCGTGTGTGTAACCCCATTGATTTAACTGGGACCGGTCGTGGGAGTAAAGAATAAAGGATCTTGCAGAAGATTAGTAAGGACATTGGCTCATCAAAGCATCAGTCAGTGCCCTTTGAGCCGGAGGATGAGACATGGAAAGCAGAGAGTATATCACACCTGCTGCTGTTTTAGCTGCTGCTGCTACTGATAATATCACCCAACACTTCCCTAGTGATTTTCCAGCCATGGCTCTCAAGCAAAGAAAGAAAATGTCATTATCTCCAATGCTTCTAAACGTGTAAACTGAGGCACGGGGAAGGGAAGGGCCTTCACCCTCTGTTTACGCTGGTACCCGTGTTTCTGCGTTTGTGTTTTTGAGTCCTGCGGGGGATGTGATTGTCAGTAGGTTTAATTTTGTGTTTGTGTGCAGCTTGCTTTCCTTTGTGTGTGTTGTACTGCGAGTGTTCCTGTGTGGATACACGGGTGAGTGTGTGTTCACGTGTGGATACAGGTGTGAGGGGGGTGTTCACCTGTGGATACACGGGTGAGTGTGGTGCCTTTCTATTCTCGCCTGTATGTTTGGAAAAGAAGAAACCGGTGAAAATAAACATGTCAGTGGCAGCATGTGATGCTCAGAGGAATTCCGGGGGCGGGGTGGGGGAAATAACCCCATTGAGAAACTGTCTGAGCCTGCAAATGTTTATAGCCAGGGAGACTTTCTCTGGGCTTCTCTCATCCCCTGTCCCTGGCAGTCGGGGGCTGGTTCGCGCTCTCAGCAGTGGACACGTTGCGCTGTTACTGCAGGGGAAGGTTTTTGTCTGAGCTCAGATTCACTTCCCCTCGCTGTGTCTCGTGCAGTAATACACAGCGGTGTCCTCCGCTCTCAGGCTGGTCATTTGCAGGTAGAAGTTGGTGCTGTCCTTGGAGGCTGTGAATCGGCCCTGGACGGAGGAGGCGTAGTACTTGGTGCTCGACTCATCGTAATAGCTGACCAGCCACTCCAGCCCCTTTCCCGGCTCCTGTCTGACCCAGCTCATCCAGGTGCTGCTCAGAGTGAACCCGCTGGTGGCACATTGCAGTGTATGGGACTCTCTGGGCTTCTTCAGCGCTGGCCCCGACTGGGTCAGAACCACCTGCGAGCGGGCCCCTGGGGGAGAAGGGAAATGGGAGACTGTAAATAAAGCTCAGTCACCACATGAAACCAGTCATTAGCCCCGGGTTCAATGGAAAATAACCAGGGAACAGCGGGAGAACCAGCCGCACTGGGCACTTTGTACATCAGTCGGGGTGAGACGACAGAAGAGAGAAGGGTCACACACCACATCGATAGCAGCAGCAATAATACCAGGTACCCGCCCCGCCTGTGAATTAATGGGAGATAAATTACCTTCCAGAGCCGCTACAAAGAAAACCAAATGGAGCCAAAGTGTCATTTTCCGCGTTGTTGTCCGGGAAAGTTTTCAGACTGTTGGCCGGTAACTGCACAGACCCAGGGGGCTGCGGATTGTCTCTCCGGCTGCAGGCTGAGCACAGAGTGGGACAGATTTAAAGAGGAACCTGTCACCCCTATTTGCATATCCCGCCCCTTATAAGAGAGACAAGCTCCCTAAGAGCCCTTCTGAAAATCTAGGTTCGGGCATTCAGGAAGGCGCAATCAGACATCAGTGGTTAGGGATCCAGGCTGGGGTTATGAGTATGGGGATTCCATCCCCTTTTTCCTCCACAGACTTCCTGGGTTACCCTGGGCAAGTGTAACGTGTCGCCTTGTGTCCTGGGCCCCCATCTGCACTTCGGACACACCAGCACTTTCCTGCTTCTCAGTGTTGTTGTGAGGACGAATTCATTAAAGATTACGAGGTCCCCAGAGTGTTTTCAATACTTCCCTGGAATGTTCCCAGCGATACATTGGGTGGATTCTCGTTACCATGGGAAATCTGATTGTTTTCTGACCTGGGTAACTGGAGTAAAGATGCGTTGTTTTAGGTAGTGCACTGTTAATACTGTAGCACTGCTACAGACTGATGGAAAGCCCATGGAAGTCAGAAAACAAACAAACAAACCCACAATAACTTGCTGTTTAGTTCCGTGTTTGCTGGATGATGCCCTGTATTCACACGCCCGAGTCAGGAAAATTCTGCGGCTATTGCTTGAAATTTCCGTGCAAGTGTTTGCAAAACAGGGAATGGAGTTATCAAAACGCTGGAGATAATGAGGGTGATTCCTACAGAGATTCAGCAATTCTGGTTTAATTACAAACCCAGTGAGCAATAAGACTAGCGAAATATTCCTGTGCAGATCCGTATGCGTGCATGAAATAATCACATCCTGCTGGCTTTAGTCCCCGTGTGTGTAACCCCATTGATTTAACTGGGACCGGTCCTGGGGGTAAAGAATAAAGGATCTTGCAGAAGATTAGTAAGGGCATTGGCTCATCAAAGCATCAGTCAGTGCCCTTTCTGCCGGCAGATGAGACATGGAAAGCAGAGAGTATAGTACACCTGCTGCTGTTTTAGCTTCTGCTGCTGCTACTGATAATATCACCCAACACTTCCATAGTGATTTCCCATCCATGGCTCTCAGGCAAAGAAAGGAAATGTCTTTATCTCCAATGCTGCTAAACGTATAAACTGAGGCACGGGGCAGTGAAGGGCCTTGCTGAAGGTCACCCTCTGTTTACGCTGGTATCAATGACACCAAGAGGACCCAGCTGAGTGTCAGGCCTTGTCCCTGTGAGACCATCCTGTGCACAAAGCTCTTACCAGGCTGAGATTTTTTTCAAAGCCTCCTAAGGGATTTGGAGGCCCAAACGAATAAGAATTGAGAATCCCGATCTTTTACTGGGCTTTGAAAATCCCACTGTAAATAAGGAAAGGGGGACAGGGAGAAATAGGGGCACAGATCATGGCAGGGACTTGCCCAACAAGAGGGGAGTGACAGAGACTGGGGGAAAATCCCTCTCGTCTAACTCCCAATCCAGCTGCCTAACCACTAGTGCACACAGTGGAATTTCAAGGAGAGCCAACAGCTTTATGTAATAATTCCAGTTGGTTTCATTTCTGTTATTTGGGTTTCTGTGTGTGAAGGTGGAGGTGGGTGGGGGGATGGTTTTCCACCGAGGATTTAATATTCATTCAATGGGGAGAGAATTTAGAATTCAGACTTTCCTTGTACCGTGGTGATCTTATCTGCCACACAAGCACGTGATCCTGGGAATGACCAATTGTTTTTCTTTTGCACATAGCGCACTGATACCCAGAGCTTTTCTAGTGCTTTAGTCAGTGCAGCTCTAGGGTGTCCCTCTGGGTATTGGCTTTGGTGTCTACCACCGTCCCCACCTCTGCACAGTGCTACAGATCCGGACAGAAACATGCAGCTGGCCAAACTGCTGTGTGACTCTTGTGCAATCTTCCTCTTTCCCTTCCTGTGTCAGCTTCTCAATGTGCAACAGGAAATTGGTCAGAGCCCGACTTAGCCAGGCTGGAGGATAGAAATGTCTCAATCTTGATTTTCTTTTCTTTTTCTTGTTAATTTCTCCCCACAGTCAAAATATTTTGAAACACAAAGTCAGGCTGAGAGAAGTGCCTCAATCGGTGAAAACCGGCAAGAACCCAGTTCTGCTGATTTCCCCCCTGCCCCCTGGACTTCAAAGGCGCTCTGGCCGATGGACACTGGCTGCATGGCCAGCCCTCTGACGGTAACTGGCTACGCTGACTTATGCTGAATGGGATCTGGCCCATTCCCGTCAATGAAGTCACACCTGTTTACATCATGAGAGCACTTGGCCCGTTGGTTCCAGGAAAGCTGAGCGGATTCACACTGGCTGTGGATTGGGCTTGCTCTGCCCACCGGCACAGGCTGCAGGAGCGCCGCGTTGGGACAGGGAGGAGCTAAGGGGCTGTAATTGTTTGTCCCACAAGTGTGTTAAAAGGCTCAATTTTACAAGGGTCAAAATGTCCCCGCGTCAGTCGGTGTGAGTGGGAATGGAGGTGTCTGAACAGCTCCTTTGGAGATGCGTTTCGCAGCATGTGCTCTGCGGGGTGAGCTGCTCAGAGGAGGTTCCTGTTTTTGTGCCAGCCCTCACTGGTTTCTATTCAGTGTGTCTCTCATACAGTAATACGTTGCAGTGTCTTCATTAGTCATGGAGCTGATCTGTAGATAGTAGGCGTTCTTGGCTGTGTCTCTGGAGACAGTAAGCCGGCTTTGGAAGGACTGGGAGTATACGACACTTCCGTCATTCTTGATAAGCCCCAGCCATTCCCATGCTCTCCCTGGACGCTGCCTTATCCAGTGCCACCAGCAGCACCCATCAGTGATGGAGACCCCAGAAACAGTGCAGGTCAGTTTGAGAGACTCTGACGGTTTCAGCAATCCCTGGCCGGATTGAACGAGTGTCACTTGAGAAGAGACACCTGTAGAAAGAGAGAGAAATGAATTCAACACCGTATAGTCCTTTAACTAAATGAACACAATATTCCATCATTCCCTGTAGCCTTACTTGTAGGGAAAAGCAAAGCAAGAAGAGAGATGAGTAGCAACTTCATAGCTGGGTGAGAGTCCAATCAAGAGAGCCACCAGATGAATGTCCTCATTGAATGAACAGGGGAGCAGCGCTCCGTATATGAACAGGGAACGAGGAGTGGAGATTTGCATGTAGCATTTTGATGTCACAAAGGACACAAAAGGTCCCATCGGGTGATGATCATAAGGTGAGCACGAGGCTTCGGCACTTGAAATAAGCTTTGATTGTGAGGTGCGCAGACACCAGAGGGTATTGGGAGACATAAGTCCTAGACTGATCAGATCCAAGGTCCATTTAGGCTGTTACCTTTTCTCTGGCAACGGTGCATAATATACTTCAGAGCAAGAGGTAATAACTCTGTAGGCGGAAGTGGGCCAGTCTGCCCCCCACAGCTCACCCTTATCTACAATACAGACGGGCTTAAACCTTGATACGTGAGGTTTAATGAGCCTTTCAATTTTATTATAACGCTGAATATTCTCCAAACCCATATAACTATCCAGTCCTTTTCTGAATCTTCTTAAGTTCTTGGTCTTGATGATTTGTCTTAGTAATAAATTCCGCAGTTTAATTACATGGTGTCATGTGTAAATACCTGCTGACCTTTTACATTTCATTGACTGCCCCCAGTTCTGGTGCGATGGCTCGGAATGACCCGGGTAAAGGGAGAAAATTCATGGGAAACGTTTCCCTCTGGATCCGTAGCAGTAGCGCTATTCCCAGGTGAAGCAGGAAGAGAAAAGCCACCTTGGAAGTGGGATCTGGCACTGAGGATACGAGCCACAGTGCAGAACAGAGGCTGATAAAATGTGAAAAGAGAAAGTCCATTGTGTGCAGCACTGTTGTAGCCATGTGGGTCCCAGGACATTGGAGACACAAGGTGGGTGAGGTGATCCCTATTACTGGACCAACTGCTGTTGGCGAGAGAGACAAGCTTCCCAGCTACACCGGGCCCTGCTTCAGCTCAGCTCTGTGTAGCCTGACAGCTTTTCCCCAACAGAACTCGGTGCAATCGAAGGTCTCCCCTCACTCGCATTCCCTCTCCGAAGAAATTCTGCGTTTTAAAGCATTGTTGGGACGTTGCTGCCACCCTCTGGACGTGTGTTTCTATTCAATATCTACATTATTTGTCACGTGTTTTGTTAACCAGTTTATTAAACCCTGGATTGTTTCTGTTTGTTTTTATTCTTTACTGGCAATGTAAAAGAAACTAAAATCATCCCTTGCACCCCCGGCAGTGTTTGCCCGGCTCCGGGGACTGGCTTGGTGCAGGGCTGAGCACAAGGGCTCCTCATTCGTGTCTGGGACTCCTAGGTGCCGTGGCGATACAAATAGTGACTGTGTTGGTATTTCCCAGCACCCAGATTGTGATCTGTGTGTCTGGATTGTGCTCTTCAGCATCCGACTTGTAACTGTTCCCCTGCGGACAGGAAGCGGGTCCGTGTATGTCGCTCTGATGGTTCAGTGGAGGAAGAAACACCTGCTTCTTGCCATCCCACTGGCTGTCAATTTAATCCAGTTCCCTTTTCTGAATGACCCCAAATGAGGTTTCTCTCTGTGGGTCTCTGGCACAACAATACACTGCAGTGTCTTCAGCCCTCAGGCTGCTCACTAGCAGACAGGCCGTGCTGAGGGGCTTGTCCAGAGTCATGGTGACTTTCCCTTTCAAATTCTCCCTGTAGGCTGGTGCCCCTGTATCCGTGCTAATCCAGCCAATATCGAACAGCCCTTTCCCAGGAATCTGTTGAACCCAGCTGGTCCCATAGCTAGTGAATGTGTAACCAGAGCCTTTACAGGACACCTTCACAGACCCCCCCGGCTTCTTCACCTCTGCCCCAGACTGGACCAGCTGGATTTGAGCCTTTACCCCTGTGGAGAAAGAAGCCGGGTGAGAATTCTTGTGGCTAGTTCTGGTTTCCCCCCACTCCTTGTCCCAGTGAAATTCACCTACCCAGGAGAGCTGCCAACAAGAGGAGAAAACTGACCCAACAGTTC